CTGACAGTCCAGGAATGGCCAGTGCAGGGGACGAGGAGGAGAGATGGCCTTGTACTGAACTGGGTTGGAGGCGAGACAGGGAGGTGCTGTAATTAGAGCAGCTGAGGGTCTGTGTTTCCCCCGGGGCCGGAGGCAGAGAGAAGACCTAGGGGTGCAGGATGAAGCAGGAAGCTGTTTCGGGGACATTACTGCAAGGAATGATCAGCAGCTGAGAGAAGTGTCCAAATAATTGTGATTTCATAAAAAGAAAAGGATCTTAGATATGATTTCACCCACACATTCACCTCACTTTCAAGGTCAAAAAGCGAAAGTCCAGAGCCATGAAGCAACTGCACCCAGAAGGGTGGAAACACAGAATCAAGCAAAATGTCTCACTGATCAGTTTGTTCCAATGGGTACACTAGTCTTTGTTCTCCACCTGAGCTACGTTTTTTTTGGGGGGGGTACAAAAAACCCCTACATTTTCATTTTGGTGGGGGAGAAAGTAGAAAAGAAAACAGCCCCTATACTGGGCCTCAGTCAGTGGCAGCTTCTTGTTCCACAGAGGAAATAAAAGTCATACATGTTGGGTTGGGTAGACAGGATGAAGCCCCAGACTACATCCTGGAACCCTGGGGCGGAGAAAGTGCCCCCTTCTTTCCCGGTGTTTGGGACTCTTGCTGGCCACGTGGTGACCGAGAAGCAGGAAGAGCTACATGCAGGGCGGGCGTGGTGGCTGAGATGTGAACGCCCGCTGCGTCCTGGGTTGGGCTCCCCCACCTGAGTTGGAAGTGCAGAGGCAGCCACGCAGCCTCCCATGTCACTGCACCCTCCACAGTTCCTGAATCACAAACGCATTCCTTCTGATGCACGGATCTGGGCCCGTGTCTTAGAGCGGGAGCATTGGCAGGAAGTCAGCATTTTATGACATCGTTTCTTCCCAAATCCTTAGGGAGCTTCTTCTTCCACCCCTTATCAATCGAGCATTACCCTGGCCATGTGGCATATACCTTGTTACCAGAGCTTGTCCATTATCATCCTTATTAAAATGAGGCCTTCCTGAACTTGACTTTGCAGGGAGGCTTGTTTCTCTAAGACCACATGACTCAGCCGCACGGAGCCAAAGTGGCTCGCCCTTAAAGGGGCAAGTCCACTCAGAGCTGCTTTTTAGTTATTGGGGAACAGCAAGGAGAGGCAAAGGGGACACAGATGTTGGACTTCAGCACACACGGACAGAGGTGAGTTATCCTCCGAGGGAATATCCCACTAAGAAATGGACAGCAATGTCCCTGGTGGGAGGTTGGCCAGCTAACCTAGCGGTGCTGCATGGTCAGTCCGTGTGCTTTGAAGGACGGAGCAGGCTTTGCAGCTTCGAAGGCACCCCATGCAGAAGGTGCCGAGCGTCTGCGCTCTGGAAACATTCTGCTGTTCTGGCTGATGAAACCAGAGCTAACGAGTCTGAGCACAGTCTGGATAACTGGGGGTTAGCTGTTCTGCTTCTGGGAAGCCGAGCCCTTTGTGTGGCATTTTGCCAAGAGCTGGGGTCAAATTTGGAGAGGACACAAGGAAATCAGTGGTCAGTGGTGGTTTCAGAGTGGCCAGGTATTAGGTCTCCAAAATTCTTGCACTTTTTGAAGGACAACAGATAAAACAGCTAGAATTTTTGTTTTCAAGGACCCTCTATGTCTACACAGAGTTCCTCCTATATTTAGTGATCCATCAAAAACTTTTTAAATTTATTTTTAATTAATTAATTAATTAATTATTTTTTAAAAAAGATTTTACTTACTTATCTTTAGAGGGAAAGGGGGGAAGGAGAGAGGGAGAGAAACATCAATGTATAGTTGACTTTTGTGCGTCTCTGCTGGGAACTGGCCTGCAGGGAACTGGCCTGCAACCAAGGCATGTGCCCTGACTGAGAATTGAACCGAGATCGTGTGGTTCACAGGCCCGTGCTCAATCCACTGAGCTACACCAGTCAGGGCCATCAAAAACTTTTTAATGCCATGGCTGGTGTAGCTCAGTGGACTGAGCTCCGGACTGCAAACTGAAAGGTCGCTGGTTCGATTCCCAGTCAGGGCACTTGACTGATTGCAGGCCAGGCTCCAGTGGGGACTCGTGAGAGGCAACTGATCGGCATATCTCTCATTCTCCCACCCTTCCTTCCTCTCTAAATGAATAAATAAAATCTTATTAAAAAACCCCAGCATGGTACTGCATGAAAATAGACACACAGATCAATGGAACAGAATGCAGAGCCCAGAAATAAGCCCACTCCTTTCTAGTAATATTCAACAATATTTGACAGAGGAAGCAGGTACACACAAAGGGCTAACGGGAGTTTATTCAATACATGATGTTGGGAAAATTGGACAAACACATGCAGAAAAATGAAACTAGACCTTCTCATATTACACACAAGAATAAATTAAAAATGGATTAAAGACTTAAATGTTAGACCTGAAACCATAGAAATCACAGAAAAAAACATAGGCAGCGAAATGTTGGACATTGTTCACGGCAATATTTTATCAAATATATCTCCCCAGACAAGGGAAACAAAAGAAAAACAAATGGGACTACGTCACAGCAACAAGTTTTTGCACAGCAAAGGAAAACAGCAACAAAATGAAAAGACAACCCACAGAATGGGAGAACACATTCGCTGATACATCTAATAAGGGGTTAATATCCAAAACTTATAAGGAACTGATAAAACTCAACACCAAAAAAACCCAAACCACCCAATTAAAAAAATGAGAAAAGGGCCTGAACAGACACTTCTCCAAAGCAGATGTACAGATGGCCAACAGACATATGAAAAAGATGCTCAATGTCACTAATCACCAGAGAAATGCAAATTAAAACCACAATGAAATACCAACTCACACCTGTCAGAATGGCTACCATCAATAAGTCAACAAATAACAATTGTTGGAGAGGATGTGGAGAAATGGGAACCTTTTTGCACTGTTGGTGGGAATGCAGACTGGTGCAGCCACTGTGGAAAGCAGTATGGAGTTTACTCAAAAAATTAAAAGTGAATCTGCATTCTGATCCAGTGATCCCACTTCTGGGAATACACCCGAAGGAACCCAAAGCACCAATTCGAAAGAACATAAGCATCCTAATGTTCATTGTAGCATTGTTTACAGTCACCAAGATATGGAGGCAGCCCAAGTGTCCATCAGTAGATAAGTGGATAAAACAACTATGAAATATTCACCTAATGGTATTCAATTTGGCTGTAAAAAAGAAGAAAATTTTACCCTTTGAGACAGTATGGATGGGAGAGCATTGTGCTAAGTGAAATAAGCCAGTCAGAAAAAGTAAAATATCATGTGATTTTGTTCATGTGAAACCTAATGGACAAACTGAACAAATAAGGAAAACAGAGATAGACTCAGAGATGGAGAACAGGATGATAGCTAAGGTGGGGGAGGTTCGGGGCAGAAGGATTGAGCCAAGACGAAAAAGGACTCATGGACATGAACACTGGTATGAGGATTATAGGGGGACTACAGGGGAAAAAACACAAAAGAGAAAGACTGGCATGTTGTGGACCACTCTGCCTGGTTTCAGGAATTGTAACACCCCGCCCCCCCCGCCACCTCACGGCTAAATATGAGTGAGCGATCTCCAGAATTGGAGCCACAGGAGACAAAGCTTGTCTCTGGTAGCAAACGCTGCCTCAGTTCCTCTCCCTGCCCCCAAAGCTTGGTCGGAAGTCAATGACGGGTAAGACCCCTCACAGCGGGGGGCAACCTACGCCAGACTGGATCACTTGGGAGGCCTTAATGGAAGGACTCAGGGGTCTACAACAAAGAGGGAGCAATAGACCCATGCCCTCTAGCTGTGTCACAAAGCCTGAGTCCCCACATTCTCTGGGAGAAGCGCTTCCTGGCTCTAATCCCCTTAAGCCTGATACCTGATGGGGAGAGGTGCAGCTCCTTGCCTTGCTAGAGCATGTCCTGGGGAAAAATCTGGCACCACAAAGAATCCCTGAAAAAACTGTGAAACCTGTTCTGCTAAGAGTACTTTCATTCCTATGATAAGGGTCCAAGCAGGAAATGAGTATGTCTCCCAAAGTTTCTGCAAAACTCTCTTCCTGACAGACACTGACTCAGACTAAGCCCTCAGATTTCTTTGAAATATTATCTACTGTTTGATCCTGTATTCCTGTGTATTACAACCCAATAAAAGCCCCTGGAGGAAGGGGCTCAAGGCCTTTTTCCCCTGAGAAACTGGCCACTGCTCAAGGCCCTTCCCTTTTGAGGGATTGGCCACCTGTCTTCCCCAAGCAGATCATGTCTCAGTCTTGTTTACTTTCATCTGTGGCGGACGGGGGGACTTGTGGGAAAAGTCGCCCCCACACTGGCGCAGCCTGTGTGAGTGGTGGGGGGGGGAGGTGGGCAGCACACGGGGACTCTGTACTATCTGTTCAATTATCTGTAAATGTAAAACTGCTCTCCAAATGAACTCCAGTAATTTTTTTTAAAGACATAGATACTGAGACTGTAATAAAATCTGCATTGTCGTGTGGTTCTAATTGCTGGCCCCCAGGTCGTGTTGGTGGCTGAAAGAGTTTGAACGTGATAATGAAGAGCTTCAGGAAGAAGGTGAAGTCGAGCAGGAGGCCGGGCATGACCGGGAGGGACCCTCCTTTCCCGTGACCCCAGCACGCTGCCAGGACGGGCTGCAGACGGCAGGCGCTGCTTGCAAGGGGTATAGAGTGTCCGCTCATGTAAGATCATGCACTTAGCCAATCAATGGGAACAACTGGTTAGCGAGAAATAATTTTAATCACTGGGTTTAAAAACTTACATAACCGCATGGAATACAATATATGCAACATCAAATCCCGGGTAACACACACGGGCTGTTTTCCGTATGTGGGACCCCCTGGCCCTGGGCAAGCCTGGGACCCCACCGTCTGACTGGCGCTGCCTCACTGGGCAGGTCTGACACAGATGTTCTGAACACAGCACACTCCCAGAATGTGTTTGAAACAGAGTGTGATCTTTTAAAATTGATTTTCACATAATTTTAGAGAGAATATCTATTAGCTAAAATGAGGTATATCTGTGCTATGCAGTTCCATAAGCACACATTCAACTTCTGACAAAGGTTTTTTATTCATTTTCATGAAACTCCATTTTGTGAAAAATAATTTAATGCCCGAGGCACGCGTCTTGAAGGCTTGCACGCGCGTGAGTGCGTGGTGGAAGGTCGGTGTGCACGAACACACCACACAGCACACCATGATGAGAGCGCCTGCCCGCCACACCACTCCCCTCATCACAAACGTGTCGAACCCACACGTGCCGAGGCAGCACCGGGGGCACGGCCCAGGTGCCTACGGGTACGTGCACACGTGCAGGGACGGGTACACCACCATCGCCGCCCGGCCTCTCTTTGTGGCAAGAAACCTGTTCCGGAGCCACTTGGACGTTGCATCTGGGGCGGGCTCTCGGCCGGAGTTTGGGCTTCTCTTCGGAGAGCAGGACACTGTCTGTCCTGGCTTTTCTCTCTGTGCAAACGAGATATAAAGTTGGGCTCACTTTGCATTGCCATTTGGAAAGTCAGAGTTGGGTGGTTTTACAAGGAGTCAGTGAGAAGCAGTTGCTCCCCGCAAAACCGGAGCCGTTGTTGAGGACAGAGGGGAACCAAGCACATGCTGGTCCCTCGGAGGGCCAGCGGTTCTGTGGGCACCGTGTCCACTGCTCTGAGAAGTGCGGGGACTGGAGTTAGTAAGCTCTCTAAAAGTCAAAGGCCTACATCTGTTAGAGAAATGCAGGTTTGGATGTAATTGACCCTGTGTACTGGGTTTAACTGGACCCCTACTTACACATCACAGCTTAACTAGCGTGTTTCAGTTGTGGGATACGGTTTTAGCCCCCAAAGACTTGTTGTTATGTGTGTTAAATGAGGAAAAAGGACAAGTTCATCACTTATTGGTCTGCCAGGAGAGACGCCCTCTCTGATTTGACTTTATTTGAACCTCTTTTCTCATTGCTCTTCAGCTTCTGCTCCACCAGATGGTTGGACCACCAGCCACCCCTCTGCAAAGGATCATTGCCTGAGGGAGGCATAGGTCTTACTGGTCTTGAAGGGCCCCGCCCCTGGGGGGCTCTCCCTAATATGCTGCTGGGTGAACGGGAGCACCAGCCTGACAATTTTCAAGCAACAGGTTGCAGAAGACAGCAGGGACCACACCTCGGGAGAACTGTGGATCCCAGTACACAGCTGGCACCACTGCATGACCCAGGGGTGTCCGGTCTCTGCCTGGACACAGGTGAGCAGCACCCCCACCCCCCACAGAGGCACCAACGCCACCTGAAATGACAGCTCCCTCACTGAGTGTCCACCTCCATTTCTTCCCTTTAAGGAAAAAACACACAAGTCCCAGTGAGCAGGAGCCATGTTGTAGGGTGAACATGAACCCCTGCTCACTCACTCTTCTAAAAAAGCAAACCACACATGGAGCTCAGCAGGGAACAGCCGCTGTGCCACCACACTCAAGCCTCCCTGAAGCCGACTGTGGAGCCCCAGCTGTTGTTAAAGTCTGGGCGGGCAGGCTTTTGCCTCCTTCGGCGCCTGTGAGCTGTGCCTCAGGGCGGTCGGGTGGTGTGCAGCCTGAGGGTGCAAATTACTTTGGGTGTTCACCAGAGGAAAACAAACCTGAGATGGTAAAACTGGACTGTGGAGTACCACCCTCCACATCACAGAATACATTTCAAAACCAGAAAAAGTGCGTGCTCACTGTGCCTGTGCTCCTCTCTCGGGCGTGTACTGGAAAAAAAAAACTCTGGGGGCCCCCATGGGACGGGCACCGGAGGAACAGTGGCAGCAGGACTCCAGCACATGTCTCCAAGGCCCCCTTTCTCTGACTTTGCAGGGAGCTGCCAGCAGCGCCTCCTGGGCTCCCTTCTTTCCCCTTAACGTTTGCCCGGAGTCGAAGCAGCCCTGCCCCTGCTTTCCTGCTGCTGCTTCTCCCCGAAGCCCGTCCTTGTTTCTCTGTCCTGGCTTTAATAAACGTATTCTTGAACCAACAACAAAAAACCCCATGTAAAGTAAATCACTGGCATAGATGTGTAAGTATATGTATTACGTGAAATACCTGCATTCTTTCTTTATTCTTAGTCAGAACCAAGGCTGTCGCTTCTGATGGGTCCAGGGAGAGGCCTTTGTCTTTTCGATTTAACTGTGACTAAAACACATAAACGCATCTTTATTAACATTTCCACCTGGACAAGTGTGACTATGTAAAACATACATTGTTGGACTTCTGCCAAGATGGAGGTGTAGGTGGAAGCACTGCATCTTCTCGCACAACCAAGTTTAAAAACAACAAAGTTTTAGCAACAAAAACACAGCCAAACCACAGAAAATTGAACTACACGGAAGTCTGACAACAACGAAACCTTCAGCCAAACCGGTAAGAGGGGCAGAGCCAGCAGCAGAGTGGGTAGGGCAGGAAAGACCTACTGGATCGACCGGGGCGCAGCACCCAGGTGCGCCAGCAGCCATGGGCGGATCCCAGGTGTGGAGAAGCAGGTGGACCCACTGAGGGCACAAGGCGGTGGACCCACTGAGGGCTGACCATGGTCACACATTCGCGCGCAGATAAACTGGTAAAGGAGCAAGCGGCGAGACAGACCTTGCAGGCCCAAGTGGCAGGAAGCGGCAGAGGGAACCACCATTGTCCCTCTCTGACCACGCCCCCACTTACAGGGTCACAAACCAGTGACCAGGGTGGCCCCGCCCTAGTGAACCACGAAGGCTCCGCTCCTCATATGTAACAGGCACAAACAGATCAAAACATGGCTCAAGAAAAACTCAGATCCCCAGAGCCAATAAATCTAAGCGATGAAGAAATAGCCAAACTTTCAGATGCACAGTTCAAAACACTGGTGATCAGGATGCTCACAGAACTGGTTGATTTTAGTCACAAATTAGAGGAACATATAAAGGCTAAACTAATTGAAATGAATGGAAATACACAAGAAACCAATAGTAATGGAAAGGAAACTGGGACTCAAATCAAAGGAGTGGACCAGAAGGAAGAAATAAATGACCAAACAGAAAAGGATGAAGAAACAAGAATTCAAAAAAATGAGGAGAGGCTTAGGAACTTTCAGGACATCTTTAAACGTTCCAACAGCTGAATTATAGGGGTACCAGAAGGGGAAGAGGAATAGCCACGAGAGGAAAACATATTTGAACAAATAATAAAGAACTTTCCCAATCTGGCAAAGGAAATAGACTTCCAGGAAATCCAGGAAGCTCAGAGAGTCCCAAAGAAGTTGGACCCAACAAGGAACACACCGAGGCACATCATCATTACATTACCCAAGATTAAAATGAAGGAGAGAATCCTAGAAGCAGCAAGAGATAAGGGGACTGTCACCTACAAAGGAGTTCCCATCAGACTGTCAGCTGATTTCTCAAAAGAGACCTTACAGGCAAGAAGGGGCTGGAAAGAGGTATTCCAAGTCATGAAAACCAAAGATCTACAACCAAGATTGCTCTACCCAGCAAAGTTTTCATTTAGAATGGAAGGACAGACAGAGTGCTTCTCAGATGAGATCAAATTCAAGGAGTTCATCATCACCAAGCCCTTATTATATGAAATGTTAAAGGGACTTATCTAAGAAAAAGAAGGTAAAAAAGATGAACAGTGAAAGGACAGCAAACTCACAGTTATTAACAACCACACCTGAAATAAAAGCAAACTAAGAGGACAGCTAGATCAGGAGCAGAGCCATAGAAATGAAGACCACATGGAGGGTTAGCAACAGGGGAGTGGGAGGAGGAAAAGGGGGGAGAAGGTACAGAAAATAAGTAGCATAGATGGTAGGTAGAAAATAGGGGGGAGGGCAAGAATAGTATGGGAAATATAGAATCTAAAGAACTTGAGACACGTGGTCATAAACTAAAGGGGGGAATGGTGGGGGAGGGGGTGTGCAGGGTGGGGGGGAATGAAGGGGGGAATAGAACACCTGTAATGGCATAATTAATAAAATATATTTAAAAAATACATCGTTGGAACGCTTCTATTCATCGTGATACTCTGACACCAAAAGAGAGGCAGGGCACAAATAGATCAAAGAAAAGAAGGAAACTAATGTTTATTGAATGCCTACCATGTGCTAGACACTTTACACATAGTTTCATATCTATTTTTTTCAGCCGATCTTGTGATGTAGATATTATTTCCCAATATTTTAGATGTGAAAATGGGTCCCAAGGTGCCTAAGTAGCTCATGGAAGATTAATAGTAGGGGTGGCATTTTTAAAAAAGATTTCATTTATTCATTTTTAGAAAGTGGGGAAGGCAGGGAGAAAGAGAGGGAGAGAAACATTAATGTGTGGTTGTCTCTTGTGCATCTGCTACTAGGGGCCTGGCCAGCAACCCAGGCATGTGCCCTGACTGGGAATTGAACTGGTGACCCTTTGGTTCTCAGGCCAGTGCTCAGTCCACTGAGCCACACCAGCCAGGGCAGGAGCGTCATTTTAACTCAAGACGGACCTCAAAGCTCATGGCCTGTCACTGTTATACTAGACCCCGCTGTCCCTCAGCACCGAACAGAGATGGCCGTTCCCTGTGAAGGTTCCTCGGCTAATGCAGAGGGACCTCGTTGCGTCACTGTCATTCACAGGGCAGCCTTTCGCCCGAGGAGGCCCACTGCGCACCCTGTCCGTGGAGAATTGGCTGTGCACCCAGACCCGTTTTTACACATACAAGAATCAAGGATGTCACAGCCACAAAGCCCCAGAGCACTAAAGGCTGGTGAGGTGCTTCTCCCCTGCGTTCCCTGCACCCTGTTCTGCTGTGTCACTGGCTCCTGGACTCCCCAGCCCAGCCTCTAAGGTCCCTGAGGCAGGGTCGGCGTCTTGCTCCACGTCGCAGTCCCAGCACCCAGTGGAGGGCCCGGAGCTGCACAGTCCGCTGCATGAACAGTGGGGGGATGGGAAAGCAGCCTGTCCTTACGTCTGGGGACGGAGTCACGAATGGCCAGTATCTGACATCAGACTTCAGTGCTGTGGAACCCAAGGCAGAGCCAGTCCCCCCTCCCCCCATTTAATGCAGCCCCGCTCCCAGCGGCGCTGACTGGGTGACACGGAGGGCTCTTGTGTCCTTCACTCTGTGGGGAGATGTGCTAATTGGAAAAATCAGAGTCTGTGTGACAGGGGGTCAAGGGTGGAACAGAATCTAGGGCCCAGAGTAAACTCCTACACAAACGGTCGTTTAGGTTCCAACAAAGGAGATGAGAATATACAACGAGGAAAAGACCGTTTCTTCAATAAATGATATTGGAAAAACTACACATCCACGTGCGGAAGAACTAAACTGCACCCTCTCTTGTACCATTCACGATATTCAACTCGAGATGGACTGAAACCTAAATTTAAGACCCGAGGCTGTAAAACTCCCAGAAGAAAATGTAGGAAGTAGACTCCTCGACACAGGCCTTGGCGATGATTTTTTGATTCAACACAAAATGCAAAGACAGCAAAAGAGAAGATGAACAAGCGGGACCACATCAAACTAAAACGCTTCTGCACAGCGAAGAAAATCAACGGGGAAATGAGAAGGCAGCCCACTGGATGGGAGACGATGTCTGCAAACAGTATGTTTTTTAGCCAGAAGAAGGAAGGAAATTCTGCCGTCCGTGACAGCGTGGGTAAACTTGGAGGACGCCACTCAAAGGAAATAAGCCAGACACAGAAAGACAAATACTACATGGTACCACCTATAAAACGTGGACCCTAAAAACGTCAGACTCGCCAAAACAGAGAGCAGAGTGGCGGCTGCCAGGGCTGGGAGGTGGGGCACGAAGGGGGAGGACGGTGGCAGAGCACAGACTGTCAGGGACAAGCCGAGGCCTGAGGTTCTAACGGACACCATGGTGGCTGCACAGTTGACATTTGCTCAGAGTAGGTCTGAACGTGTCCTCACCAAAAAAAAAAAAAAAAAAGGTAAATAAGTGAGGTGAGGGGTGTGATAATTAACTCAGTGGTGGGAATCCTTTCATAATGATACACATCATTATGTATCAATGATACACACTGTACACTTTACATATATTTCCAAATAAAAAGTTCAGTAAATATATTACCTCACTCAGCCTTGGTTTTTCATTTTGGATTGTTGAAGAGCCGGCACGCTCTGAATCTCTGGGAAAGGTAGACCGCTTCTGCGCTGTAGAAGCAAATCCTGCCTTCTCCTAGGGGGATGGAGCGTAGAGAGAATGTTTTCCAGTTGATCCATTGCCATTACTCCACTCAGAACTGACCCGCTCCACCCAACAGCAAACCTCCCACCTCGGAAAGCAATTTCAGCGTTCGAAAGCAGAGGGTAGGATGCGGGTGCCCCAGCTAGGAGGAAGCCTAGAAAGGAGCTATCCAGGGGTCTTGACCCTGGACCAGGCCTGACCCCTCAGCATCCAGCAACCCTGGACTGGCTCCAGCCACTGCTTATCCAGCCCGTTCCAACTCTTCCTTCTGGAAATCCAGACTCGGTCAAAACCCAGGCTTGCTGTTTCAGAGCACAGAAGAAGATTGGTGGGCCAAGGCCAAAAGCCCTGGACAGAGACGTCCAGGGGACTGGGGAAGAGCTCTGAACTCAAGACCGAAAGACCCACCCCCACAAGTTCCCTCTCTGGTTTGGAGCGAACCTAACGCCTGGCCACAGGAGGCCCTTTCACCAGGTGGAGGATGCGGGCAGCACAGCTTTCTTACCAGGGCATCTTCTGTGGACTTGAACTCCCGTATCACATTGTTTTTCTGATACTGTTCATTTCGCTGTTTCCTTGTCTGAGGTGGCTTCTTTTTTTTCTTCTTATCCACCCTCTTCTTCTGGTTCAACTATTCCAGAAAGTACAGAGCACCAGTCACTGAGGCTCCCAGAGGATTCTCCCCACACGGCAGTCAGGACACACGGCTGACCCAGTGTACGGCCCTCACGCTGTTAAACTGTCGTCGGCTTGGAGAGCGGGCGGCCCAGTCACCTCCACGCTGAGGCTGCGCCCCATGTAACAGCCCCCAAACCCCGCCCTATACGTTTGTTGCCACAGGGGCTCCCTTGCCCACAACTGAGCACCGGTGCTTCGTAATGTGCAACTCGATTACTCACAGCAATAATGTCAGGTACAGACAATACCGATCATCAGACATGTGGTTAAAGATTCAACTTGGTTGTTACTACAAGGTGGCTTTAGTAATTAAGCAAATGAAGCTCAGGACTAATTTCCTAGGCACCTATGGGGTAGTGAAGCTTCATCTGATGTTGCGGTAAACCCAGATGGAGACATTGCAGGGTCCCATCTGTTTGGCTGGCTGCTCCCGACCCCTGTCATCCCACCCTGCCACTGAGACATGTCTTAACGTAAGTGGGAAAGCACACAATGAGCCACAAAAATATCTTGTTCTTTCTAAATATTGCCTTACATATCATCTGTGTAAGAGAAAGTCTGCGAACAGATGAGGCAGCAAAGTTACTTATATGAAAGCATAAAAAGCTACCGAAGACTACATGAATAAAGAAAGTTTTCTTTAAAAAATTTGGAGCATTTTTTTAAAATAAAAGAACTTTAACTTAAAATTTTAACTCCGGTTTACACGCAGTATTATTTTGTATTAGTTTCAGGTGTACAGCATGGTGGTTAGATGAGAAGATCGCAGGCTTTACAAAGGGCTCCCTGGGTATCCCCAGCGCCCACCTGGCCCCACCCACAGTCACTACAACGTCACTGACTGTGTTTCCTACGCTGCACCTTCCGTCCCCCTGACTCTTCAGTAACTACCCACCTGCACTCCTCGATCCCTTCACCGTTCTCACCCAACCCCCTAATTACCCTCCCCTCTGGCAAACAAGCATGGGTCATTTTTAACAACCTCTATCTTTTGCTATGGTTTTCATTTTAGTTAAACTTTTTTTTTCGTTTTTTACTTAACTTTTGAAATGGAGTTGTCACACTGTTCCCCTAGATTTTTAAAACAAAAGTTATAAAGGACCAGGCAAAATATTCCATAACCAGTTAAAATGGCTACTGTTCTATTTTCTGCAGATCTTGGGATAGTTGGAAAATTCCACCAAATCACCCAGAAGTATCATGGTGTTTTGAGGCTGCTATTTCGTGGGTACAAGACTCTGTCTACTCTCACCTCATCTGCTATGTTCAGGAGGTGAACAGGGAGGCCGTCGGAGAGGGAACTGTCAGAACCACTGGTGCTGTTTTCAGAAGGAGAGAAGAAAGGGAAATGCCTGTTACTGATGCCTGGAGCAGACCATTTACCAGACCGGGGGCACGGGGCTGGGGTGTCCAGTCTGCTATTTGCCTGCACTGTCTGTGTTTCCATGACCAAGAATCCTTGACAAGCATATTCATTCATTCATTCTGAATGCCTACTGTGTGCCGGGTAGTGCATTAAGCACAGGAAACAGATGGACACAGCAGAGTTCCTGCCCCAAAGAGTTTGCAATTCGTGTGGCAAAAACCAAACAAACAAAAAACCCAACCACCAAACCAAAAAACCCAACCAACCAGCCAGGTGGGCAAAGCTGCCCGTGGCAGGGACAGTGAGAGGCTGCAGGACTGCTGACGGGCGGCCTTGGACAACACCAGGGGCCGTGATCTGTTTGAAAGCGGGGGCTCTGTCACAGTCGTTCCTGTCTGGCTAGGATCCGTTCAGCGCAAGGACACTGCCAGGTCCTCTTTAAAATGATGTGTTCAATATACAAATACATACATTTAATACAAAGAATGTACAGGTCAGAGACGAGGAATACTACTTTTATTAACCCAGAATCTCCCTTCAAAAGTGTTGGACGGGCCGCCCTGCCCGTGGTGGAATAGCCCGCTCTCTGTTTCGCTGCTTCACAAAGAAACTCGCTTTCACTTTAAACTCTAAAAAAAAGTTTTGGCTATACTGTAGACTGATCTAAAGTCTTCCCCCGCCAACTGTGCCCACCCCCTTTTCTTCAAGGGCCAGGATACACGAGGTCTCAGATAACCGGTTCTTTCTTCCTCTACCGTGTCACGTGTTCTCCCCATTCCTGGCTGTGCCAGAACAGAGACCTGTGCTCTGTGGCACTCTCCGTACACAAAACACGTCTTAGGCGCAAAACTCAAATCTGGGGAAAGGCAGCATTTCAAACCGTTGTTTTGCTCGGCTCTTTCATTCTGTTCATGCCCCGCTGCCCCCCCACCCCACCCCAGCCAGCGCACAGGGAGCAGCCCCGCAGCCAGGCAGCGGGAAGAAAGCCCTCCCCTCTCTGATCTAAGGCCCAGTTCCGTGTTCTCACTGGCTTTTCCAGTCCAAGGAGTGGCTTGTGAGGCCACTGAAGTCCCTTTCAGAGATAACAGAGAACTTCAACAAATGGGATAAAAGCATCAGATGCAGGATGCCCTAGAAATGCTGAAAACGGCACGTGCACACAGACAGAGCGGACTCTAGCTGGGCTTGTATGCTCACTCTGCTTCCCTGTGTCACGTGAGAGGAGAAAGGTGGCCCCCGCGGGGGCTCATGGGAGCCGGCTTCCCAGTGCAGAAGCTGGCAAATGGTTCGGTCATTTTTAACTCAACGTGTCAGTGTTTCCCTGCTGAGCCCTCTAGAAAGCAGTCTGGCTGTTCCTGAGTGGACTCCCCTTGGGCTCTTCCGTGTGTGTTCATATGCAGGGGATGTTTTGTTTTTATACTTGTCCTGGGGAGCAGGCAAAGGATTCTGGGAGAATGGAAGAGGAGACCTGGTGAATGGGGGACTTGACCTGGCCTGATCATCTGGTTTAGGCAGACTTCTGGGAGCCTCAGCCAGCAGAACAGCTGTAGGGCCCAGAGGTCAATGTGTCACAGAGTGTGTGGGAGAGCCACCCGCTGCCCACTGGCCACTGCAGACCACAGCATAGCTCTTGGCACAAGGCCTCCATGCCCAGCTCAGAAACCTCTGACTGAGGGCATCGGGCTCAGGCCTGAGGCACCTTGGCAGGGAAGCTGGAGTAGACGGTGTTCTTGCACACATGTGAGATACTGCCCACCTGGGGGCTTCCTAAATAGCTCTGGAGACTATGAGGGCGGGGCTGAGATCCCACACACTAAATTAATTCAACAAGCATTTACTGAGCTTTCCCAGGCACTGCTGCAGAAGCATGAGCTAGAGAGGTGAGCAAAATAAAGATCTCCGACCTTGTGGGACCTACCTCCTAGTAAGAGAGTAAAGATAACAAGTAACAGGCACAATAACATTGTAAATGGTACAGAAAGACAGAGGTGATAAAATGCTGTGGAAAAAAGTCAGAGCACCCAAGGGGGATGGGGCGTGGCAGGCGGGGAGGGTGGGGAGCCAGCTGCGGCAGTGGCGGCAGTGATGAAGGCAGGCACGTTGAGCATCTTGACACTGAAGCAGAGACATGAAGGAGGCGAAGGAATTACCCACATGGACGTCCAGGGGAAGAGTATTCCAGGAACTGCCAGTACAAAGGTCCTGAGGCAGAAGAGGGTCTGGCAAGTGCGAGGAAGAGCGAGGAGGCCCGTGTGGCTGCAGCGGAGTGTGACAGGGTGGGTGCGGAGGTCACAGAGGTGTCGGGGGCTAGATCCTAAAGCCCTGTAGGCCATTCATTGTAGGTCCCAGACTTTTTGTCTGAGTGAACTGGGAGAGCCATTAAGGTGTTTTAAACAGGAATGATTTTAAATAGAGGAATGACGATCTGATTTTTAAAAAGATTTTATTTTATTTTTGGAGAGAGGGGAAGGGAGGGAGAAAGGGAGAGAAACATCAGTGTGTGAGAGAAACATTCGTCAGTTGCCTCTTGTACACCTCCAGCTGGGGCCCTGGCCCACAACCCAGGCGTTTGCCCTGATCGGGAATTGAACAAGCGACCTCCTGATTCACAGGCTGGTGCTCAATCCACTGAGCCACGCCAGGCAGGGCTGATTTGTTTTAAAAATAATCACTCTCCTAATTTTTTTTTTTGGCCTGGTTGACCCCTTCTTGGTCGTATTTGCTGGCTCCTCCCCATCCCTTTGCCCTTTTAAAGCTGTGGTATCAGCCCTGGCCTGCATGGCTCAGTCGGTTGGGCACGAGGCACAAGGTCACTGGTTCGATTCCTGATTAGGGCATGTGCCTGGGTTGCAGGCCGGGCCCCCAGTTGGGGCGTGTGAGGTGTTTCTCACATTGATGTTTCTCTCCCTTTCTTTCTCTCTCCTTTCCCCTCTCTCTAAAAAAATAAATAAATAAAATCTTTAAAAACAAAAGCTGTGGAACCAGCTCAGACTCGGACCGCTTCACTCACTCTGCACTTGGCTACCCCGGGATCTCACCCCGTCTTAAAGTTGAAATGTCTATCCGGTGATGAGGCCGTTAGACCTGTCCACTGAACTCCAGGCTCGTCAGCCAACTGCCTACTCGCCATCATTTGCTTCTACACAATGCTTGCTTGCTCGCGTCTATAAAAAGACTTAGCTGTAAGTGCTTAGGGCGGCTCTCGTTTGCAGCTCTTATGAGCACCGAGTCTCCGGACACTCTGAGGGTCTGCCACTGCGCAGGTTAAAACTTTGGCCAATAAAATAACATTTCTGAATCCTGAAAGTTTCTGACAATTTGTCTCTCGTGTTGGTGGATGCAACATTTGAAACTTCAAAATATACCTCAAATCCCACCAACCCACACACCACCAACCACTCCTCTGGTCTAAGCCACCTTCACCTTGCACTTGTATCACTGAAAGAGCCCCCTAGAGAGCATCCCTGCTTAGACAGGCCCTCTTCACACCCCGTGTCCACACAGCAGCCAGAGTATCACTGCTGGAGCTAAACCCTGGGCAGATCAGGGCACTTCTCTACTTAAAATCTTCCAAAGGCTTTCCATCCCCCGTGGGATAAAACACAAAAGCTCTTACAACTGCCTCCAAGGCTCCGTACCAACCGCCTCCCACCTCCCCAACCCCTTCTAGTGCCTGTAACAGGATCAAAGAACAAGCAACCAACAGAGTTGTCAAAAGAGCAAAGTGTATTCATATGTGCCATGATTTACTCAGTATTTTGCATCTGAGGTTCTAAACCCATAAAACAACAAACAAACAAATTTTAAAAAATAGAACTTCTCTGGTTTTTCTTTGAAGTGAAGTTTGTTACCTGGATTCAATGTCAGACAAAGAGATGTCATTCCAACTTTCTCCTAAATCCACATCTTGTCCAAGTTCATTGAATTTCTTATGGATTTCCTGTTGTAAGAGCTCCTTTAGCTCTGCTAGACACTGCATGAACTGTGGAAAGAAAACAAGAACCACTCTGATTATTTGTTTACTTATTCATCAAAGACTAAGTATATGCTAAAAGGTGCTTTACTGCCGAGGACACGGGGAGAGGAAGCTGTAATGTCCGCCACTAAGGACATGTTACCAGATAAACTACGTGACCTGTGGGAACACACAGACGTGTTTTTAGGACAGAATGCCCATAAGCACTGCTTTAGCTACATTTCCTTGGCTGTAGCCAGTAATATACTTCTTGGCTATAAATGCAAAGGTCTGTTCTGCTTGTTTGTTTGTTTATTTTGGAATAATAAGGAAGGAAAAGTTAGAACAGCATTGGCCTATTGCAAATATGATTTAACGGGCCATGCTGTGGCCAAATTCTCCCTCAAATATTTTTTGTTACATGGCTGCATCCAGAGGGCGTGCCCATCACGTGTTCCTAGGGCTGACATTTCAGAGGGGGTCTGAGAGATGAGCAAGAGACCCCAAGTACAGACTCCTTTTTTAAGAAGCTGAGTGATGCAGGAAGACAAATAAACTGCAGAGGAAACGAGACTGTGACTTGGGATTGAAGCAACTTGAGAACGTTTGCAGTCGAAGAGGAAGAAACCGAGGACGCAGAAAAAACCGGGGAGGTTATTAATGAGGCAAGATCCCAGGGGGCCTTAGTGGAGGCTAGCAAATGCACCAAACTCAGAGTTCGTTTTGGAGAAGAAAAGCAACAGCTGGTTTTCCAAAAGAGGAGAAAGGGAGGTAAGAACGGGAGCTGCTGGGGGTGGGGTGGCGGGGGGCGTTGCGGGGGTGGTACGCCCGGAAGTGAGAAAGAGGCGCGCCGAAGGGACTGGCAGGATGGCTTCCCTCCGCCTGGTGAATTGACGTCTTACCATTTGCTGAGAGAGGACAGGTGGGGTCTTTCTTTTTTCCTTTCATTATAAAAATTTCAGAAAGATGTTAGGAAGAAATAAAGAGCACCTGAAATCCCACCGAGCGGAACTTGGACCCATGTGAAACTGGTCACAGTAGCTGCATCAGCACAATTTCTTGCTTTCTTTTCTTTTCTTTTCTTTTTTTAAACTGACCAGAAATCAAACCCCTTGGGGTCCAACCAGCTGGGCCACACCGGCCAAGGCACTGCATTGGTGGAAATTCCACTTTTACCTTGGCTCGGTCAGGATCACAGAAATCCAGAAGGGTGTCACAGACATGATAGCCCAGGGACTTCAGATCCTCAGTGGTAAAATGAGTGTCTCTTTTATTGCCTGGAAAAAAAAAATCCACAAACATTTCTTATTAAATTTTAATGAGCAATTGCAAATCTAATTTACGAGGATCTCCTTAAAAACATCACCTCTGATTCTAGTTTTAGTTTGATTCCAAAGAATCTTTGACAATGAAAAAGCTTACAATCATGAAGGCTATAATTTCTGAAGTTATAATGATAATTACCATGATGATAAAGCTTTACCCTGTGGCAGGCACTATGCCAAGTGCTTTGCACACACTATCTCATTAAGTAGCACCTATAATGCAGGTGCTCTGCTGACAGTTCAAGAAAAATGAGGTTCAAAGAGTTAAGTCACTCACCCGGGTCACGCAGCTTGGGAACCAAGCTCAAATTCAAACTCAGATTTGCCTGACTCTACATCCTTAGCAACTACTACGCTACATGCTCCATCAAATATTCTATTTCACGCTCATATTTTGGATACTGGAATTTGGCATGAGGCACAGACAAGAAAATTCTTTAGACCAATTCTCCCCCCGACATTTAAAGGGAACGACTCTCCCCAACGCTCTGCATCGCTCCCCTGGCCACACTGGCCCAGGGTGCACGGAAGGGAGCTCACCCAGGGTGGACCCGCCAAAGGTAGACTCCACGGTGTAGCTGTTCAGGATTCCCATCCGCCACATCACAACGCGTCCCGTTCCTTCTTTGCACTTTTGGACCTTAAAATTACAACTATGAAAAGAGAACTAAACAGAAATCCAAGTCCTCTGTTAATCATAAGCTGGCAAATGATTAAGCTGATTCATTAATGTGACACAAGAATGGTCCCCTTGGGATCTATGTATTATTTCCTAATGTATGTTCCGTAAAATACTCATTCTAAGGGATGTAAATAGTTATTACAGAGGAAAGCATGAGTTCTCTGGTCATGTGTATCAGGGAGATAAAGGGTTAACGAACTGAACAGGCTTCCTCTGCAGCACCTCTCAGAATAGCTAACTTACTGAGGACTGTGATCCTCCAAAGCGGAGAGAGTATATTGTTTCTCATTGGCCATGAACCCTTCCTTCCCGTCCCGACCTTCCTCAGGGACATTTTGCAGGACTAGGGTTCCTTGAATACTTGTTTGGGAACACTGGCCAAATTTGGCACTCAAGGCAGTGGGCAGCCTTTGTAAGACTTTTCTTTTTAAAAAAGTGTTTTATTTAAAAATCCACTGAGCCACACCTGGTTGGTGTGGCTCAGTGGATTGAGCGCCAGCCTGTGAACCGAAAGGTTGCTGATTTGATTCCCAGTCAGGGCACATGCCTGGGTTGCGGGCCAGGTCCCCAGTTGGGGCCTGCAAGAGGGAATGGGTATCACTCGCATATCAATGTATCTCTCTCTGTCTTTCTCCCTCCCTTCTGAAAGAGAGGGAGAGAAACATCAACGTGTGAGAAAAACATCGGTGGCTGCCTCTCACACGCACCCCAACCAGGGACCACCTCCCACAGCCGCACAACCGAAGGACATGCCCTCACCAGGGACCAGTGACCTTTCTCTTCGTGGGGTGAAGTCCAACCAACTAAGCCACACCAGTCAGACTGTCAGAGTTACTTTCTAGCACTCCCCAGTTTGAGCCCTCGGATCTAGCTGGGTTATCCTCTATACATGATTTGTGTATGCCTCAGACTGACAGTCTCTGCCTTCAACTCTCTTGCTCCCTTTTGCCAGTGTTCTCCGCTTGGAGTTCAACGTTCTCCAATGCCTTTCACGACCACCACAACGTTCTCTCCTCTCTTGGAAGCTGCAACGTACCCTTGGCACCTACCTCAACCTACCCTAGCCATCCTGCTGAAGATGCTTTACATCTGGGAGACCCCTCACTAGCTGGTGGTCTCTAGCTTGTGCTCTCCCTGAGGCCAGGGGCTCTGCTGAGGAGCCTGGGGGCCCTGCTGCCCAAGGGCTGGTGGAGGAGGCAGAAGGGCGCAGCCTCAAGCCTTCTGCCCCTCTTCACCCATGCAGCTCTGCTTTTCACTGTTTTAGATATTGGGTTCTGGGAGTGATTTCTTTTTTAAAACATTATTATTATTATTATTTTATTTTTTAAAGCATTTTTAAATTATTGTTCAAGTACGGTTTTCTGTCTTTTACTCCCATCCCAGCCTATCCCCAGCCCCCAGCCCCCAGTGCTGGGAATGATTTCATTGGAAGAAAGACATCCCTGGCAAAAATGGGCAAGAATATTAAAAAAAGAAAAAAGAAAGGAATGAGGAAGGGAGGAAGGGAAGAAGAAAGGAGGAAAACGTCTTTTTCTTTTTTACAATAAGAGCAGCAGATACAAAATATTTGTCTTAAATATCTTACATGAGAAAATTTGTACTATCATTCAAATACTTTCCTAAATCCATCCTAATTTCTTCCAATGCCATTTACACTGTGTGGGTGTCTTTACGGTGCTGGACCAATGCAGGCACTTGGCGTACGCCCGGCTGCCCCAGAGCTGGCCCTGCAGTGTCTTCATTATTTGTGATCTTGTGTTACATAAACTTTTTTGTGGACACTCATGTGACATTCACATTTTGTTTGTCCTTCAGTCCCTGCTTGCACTGCAAATCACAGGATTCAAGATGACAGATAACTCCATTCATGAGTTTGAACTGTGCCCAGGCAAAGCAGCCAGAGCAATTTTTTAAAATCACCTTTATTGAGATATAATCCACATACCATAAAATCCACACATTTCAAGTACACAGTTCCATGGTTTAAGTGTATTGACAGGGACGTAATGTAAGTCTGGAACATTTTCAAAACCCCCAAAGAAACCAGGGCCCGTGAGCAGGCACTGCCCAGGCCGCCCTGCCCGCAGCCCTGGGCCACCGCTGAGCTGCTTTCTGACTCTGCAGCATAGAATGGAATCGTGCAACGTGGCCTTTCTGTCTTGTTTTTCACTTAGCATCATGCTCTCACGTTCCTTCCATGTCCCAGCACGTCAGTAGTTAAGTCTTTTTATTGCCAAACAACAGTCCATCGTGTGGATGTGCTGCATTTTACTTAGCTGTTCACCCACTGATGGACAGAGAATAAATTCTTGAAGTCAGGCTTCTGGGATTAACCCAAGATGATAAAAAGAGATACAAAGTGCCGACTCAAACACTACATATAAGAAGGAAGTGCTCCCTTCTCCCTTAGTCAGTGGACAGAAAACGACCTCACATGCTTACCTTTTCTGGTGCGTTTTTGCTTAACATTAAAGGGAAGACTCGCTCATGAAGCCAGTGCTTGCGGTCGCTGTTGTTACAGCCATACAGGAAGATATTATTCTTACGGCTGTGGCCGTGGAAATCGCAGTACAAGAGAACCTCCCTTTCTTCAAGAAGTCTATTGAGGGGGGCAAACGAAGGAGTCAGTGGACATCCGAATGCATGCAGATAATCAAGGATTATTTGGAGTCTCTTCTTTGTGTCTGTTGATACCTCCTTTCTAAGAAAATTTCAGCTCCTGACGGCCTTCAAAGGACCCTACCTCCATCCTCAGCCACTCCTGATGTGGAAAGGGGTAGGGGGCAGGTCTTGGGTAAGTTGACAAGGAAGTGGAGAAAATCTGATGAAAGTAACCCCACCCTGGTGTAGGCCAGTGGAACGTGGGGAGAGGTAGAGAGGCTGTGACTGCAGTGGTAAAAAGAACCGAAGAAAGCCCTGGTTCCTCACTTTCTGGGGCTGGTTCTGATAAGGCTCAGATCTTCTTGGTTTCCTATGTGATCTTCCAAACGAGGTCACCTTCCCCATAATGAGAGGATGAAGAGTCTGATAATATGCCACCCACTAATGATGTGCTGGGTACCATGCTAAACAGATTACATGGATTACCTCATTTAATCCTCACAGGAACCGTCCAAGGCAGGCGTTATTATCCCCACTTTACAGATGAGAAAGCTGAAGCGGAGAGGTTAAGTGACTTTCAAGGTCACAGGACCAGCCGATAATTTAACCAGGTCTCAAAACCCGGCTTGTCTGACTTCCTAACAATGCTGCCTTGACCATTCTGCTGCCAGCCCAACACTACTCCACCCTTTCACACAGATGTGGCTGAAGGTCTGTGCACGGACATATTCTTGTATGTTGGAGTCTCATTTCCAATGAAATGGAAGCTCTTTTAAGCTAGGTGCTATTATATCATAGCCTTCAACAGCTTTTATACAGGCTTGAAAAACGCTGACTGATTTATTATTCCTTCTTCAATGACAGGCAATATAAGATCGTAATAAGAAACTCAGACTCCAGTCCTGGCCAGGTAGCTCAGTTGGTTAGAGCATCATCCCAATACAGCAAGGTTGTGGGTTTGATCCCCAGTCAGGGCACGTACGAGGATCAACCAATGAATGCATAAATAAGTGGAACAGAAATTGATGTCTCTCTCCCTCTCCTTCTCAAAGCAATCCAAAGGGGGAAAAAAAAAGGCACAGACTCTGGAATCAGAGAGCTTGTGTTTAAATATCTACTCAGTCACTGACTATGCTAGGCCTTGGGCAAGTTACTTAGCCTTTTGGGGCCTTAATTTGTTCATCATATAAAAAAAATGGGGATATTGACCGTGCTTACCCCAGGGGGTTAGTGTGAAGATTAAATGGGTCGTAAGTATAAAGCACTGTTAATACTGCCTGTCACCTCATACGAAAGTACTAATTGTTATATACTATTATTACACAACTCTCATCATGAAGACCTACAAATTCCTCTGACATTTGACCTTTTCCAATCATTTCACTTCTACGTGAAATATCTCTGGCTAAAACGCTGCACATTCAGTTTCCACTCAAAGATAAGACCTGATTTAAAAGTTGGAAAATGAACAAACCCACGTGACTACAAAGAGAATGGTAAAGACTGTCTACAAAGCCATTTCCGCTTCTGACAACATTAGCAGAGGCCTCACCCCTCCCGGCCCCCACCATTAGGCAGTAATCAGAGGAGGTTCAACAGATAGGGGCTCTCACCTCTTGATCATGTTCCTGGTGTACCAGACACAAGGGAAAGACTCCTTCAGAATGGTTTTATAATGCCTGTTCAGGTCCCTTCCAGCCAACGAACACCGGTAATTCCCCACAATCACCCCATCTGGGTTCAACATGGGGACCACTTTGAAGACAAAGATATCTCTGAGGAGCTCAGCATCTGGGGAGTTGCCAAGAATGAAGTCCAAAAACCCTTTCATGACCCAGGAGCCATTGCTCTCCCCAGGGTGGGCCCTGGCGCTCAAGACCACACCTTTCTTTGCAGCAGCCTCTTGAGGGGTCCGGGATGGGTTGGTGATGGTGAGCAGGTAGACGGTATTTCCTGCTAGACTCCTGCATAAAGTCCGAAGTTTGCAGAACCGAGACTGGAGGGGGTTGTTTACCACCGACAGGAGGTAGTACTGCAAATCAGTGTACGTATATGGGTAGAAGTGTGCAAAGAAGCAAGTGTCCTGGTCGTGCGGAAACTGAATGGTCCACGTCAGACAGTAGAAGGGCTGCTGCCCGTCATCCGTGTTGTTCTTGTAGTACCTGATTTCACTTCCTTCTCTTCTCCAGCCAATGTTGTGGGTGCTGGCATCCAACTGGGAGTACATGAGCGGCTTCATCCCTACTGCGTAAAGGCTCTTGGGTTTCAGCAAGTTGACAATGGTGAAGCGATAGGTGGCATCTTTCCTGGTGTTCTGAACTCGAAAATAAAACCACTGAGTGTGTTTGTTTGTGTAGAGGTCAGTTCGCAAGGTCAGCTCATACTCGTAGGTGTCTCTGTAATGAAGAATACAGAATATCTCTGTAACACCTCCCTCAAAACACTGGTATTCCTTGGTAAAAATAGATCTTATTCCAACAGAAAGCCTGCTACATCAAACATTCATTTTCTCATTTACCCAGTTCTCCAACTCATGTATTAGGCTGACAGAAACTTGGGGAAAGAAAGTGGATTTGGGGTGGGACAGAAGAGTCTCAAAATTCACACTGTTGTACAGGATTCTGGGGAGCTCTGGGCTTCTTGGTGTCTGTCTAGAACACCCAGTAGCAGTTTCTAACCACTGCAATCCATTGCTCTGAAACACACTGAAAAGCAGTGAAGCTGGAGCCCTTAGTGGTGGCTGCTAGCTGCGTCCTGGACATCACCAGCACGGACCAGACCCTTCAGCTTTCTGTGCTGTTTTTATCTCTGATCATCAACTGTTTGAAGATAAAGGGGCTTTGCTGGAATGCATGTGACTTGTTTAAAAGAAACAGGACTAGCTTGCAGAAGAGGAAATACAAATGGCAAAAACATGTGAAGATACTCATCCACATGCATCATTAAAGAAATACAGACTAAACGGGATGTTTTCTCCGCCCTCTCGTCAACGTTTCAACACTGGGAAGCAGGTACTCTCACACACTGCTGACGGCAACTGAAATCACACCGGAGGGTGATGGGGCCAAAACTAGCAATACCGAGGTGCTCACACTCTCTGACCCACCAATTTTATGTCAGAATTTACTCCATAAAAATATACATGCACAAGGGTGTTAATTATGTTCATTTGTTTAACAAAAAGTTGTAAATATCTTAATTTCTGATCAGTTAGGGACAGGGTAAATAATATATGGAATATCCATACAATAGAATAATAAAAACCACTAAAAGTGAGGAGATATAACTGTAGTATTGCCATAGAAAAACATCTATAATGTATCGAGTGGAAAAAACAATTCGCAAAACTGTATGCACACCATTATCCTATTTTTTAAAATACATAAAATATATGTGTATTACACATACATAGACAGAAAAAATTTATATGAGTATACTTCAAACTGTTATCAACTGTTGTGCCTGGAAGGCATGATTATAGGACTCAGAAACAGTGATCCGTTGCCTCTCTCACGCTCCCTCCTGGGGACCTGGCCCCCAACCCAGGGAATTGAACTGACAACCACTAGGTCCACAAGCCAGCACTCAATCCACTGAGCCACACCAGCCAGGGCAAAACTTTATGTCATGTATTTTTTAATACAAACTTCAAATGAGCATTAATTTCTTTTATAAGCAGAAAAAGCAATTTAGATAAATGTTTATTCTGGGGGAAAATACGAGGCACAATCTTTCCACTTTTTATCCTCCTCATAACCATTTCCCATCACCTCTGCTTTTCAGCAACAGTCCTGACTCCCACGGCGGTTCTTTAGGACTCCTCTCAGTCACTTCCGGCACCCTCCCTTCGGGCAGACCCTCTTTGTTACTCACACTCTGACAGCTTTTTGCAGATTCCCACTCTCGAACCTGGATTCAAACAGGAGCGTGTTATCTTCTGGTCCCTGCAGCGTGACAGCGGGTTCCCTGATAGTTCCTCGCTTGCCTCCCACCCTGGAACTGGTGAAATAGGAGCCTTTGGTGGGCACTGCAGATAGGACAGACACATTCCTCTCAGAATCCATTCATCCAGCAACATTCATTGTGCCCTTGTATGTGTTCAGCAGCGCTGTTCTAGGTTAACAACAACGAATATTCAAATTTTCAACTGTCCTTGTGGAGACTTTAATTTGAAAGTGTACTTCTTTGAAGGCCTGTTTAGAGCTACAGGCCATCCCTGCCATCAGAGATACTGCTTGTATGCATTTAAGCCCTAATTTAAAAGGATGTTGGCAAAAGATAATACTCTAAATGGGGCATCTGAAAACACTTGCAATCTTATTTAAGAACACACAACAAATAGCACCTATTTATTCATTTTAAAAATATGAAGGGAAAAACAAAAAAAAGAGAACGTAGCACACTCTGTAAAATTTTTTGCTATATCCTTCCAGATTTAAATATAACAAAAATAGAAATTTGAGAATTGGCATGGGTGAATTTCCCTAAGTAAGGAACCAAAATATCATAGTTAATAGTAAAAAGTTTACATTAAGATTTTAACTTTGTTTGTAATTTTATTTTTTTATTATTGTTCAGTTAGGGTTGTCCCAATTTTCCTCCCATTGCTCTCTCCTGCCCTGCCCATCTAAAATTTTAACTTTAAAATGAAGTTAAAACAAAAAAGTGATGAATCTTATCTCATTTAACAAAATTAGAATATAATAATAATCTTTAATACTTGGAATAATAAAGAATCGATTGTTAATTTTTATTTTAAAGTGGGGCTGCAACTTTTCAGACAAATTCAATAAGAATGCCATAATCATCTTTGGTTTTTGCAAAACTTTTTTTCAGGCTTCACAGTTTTCCCAAGGACTTCTGTTTGTACCACAATATTCTCATCATTGTGTCTGGAAGAACCTATTTTAGTCATCTCTTGTTGATCTTCTGTTTAACTGTTAACTGATAAAAAATTTCTAGGTTTTTATTTGTCATTTGTCTCATTTTGCAAGTGAGTCAAGCAATTCTGTAACATTCATCAACTTCATAAAACCCTGCATCTCTTGTTACGAACCATAATTTCATTTTGCACTTATTTATGTGTATTATATTATCAGATGTTAACAACACCCACCAATCAGCAAGTGACTGACACCAACAAAGATGCTGACTGGACAGACAGTGATGTGGGAGGGGCCTGAGCATACGAGTAGCCAGTTCACTAGGAAATACAGTCATACTATGACTTTGGCTTCTATGCAACTCTACGTGTCGGTATGGAGACCTTATAATAAACACTTGGGTAATAAATGAGGGCAAAGGACAAACTGATCATGTAAAGAAGTGAGTGAAAGAAGAAATTGAGCACAGAGGAAGGAGCCGAAGCAGCAGCTGAACTACATGTAATCCCAGTACAAACTGGGGACCCACGTGGTTCAGTCTCTCCATGAAACTAGTCCCAGTACAACCAGCAACCAGACGCCACTAATAATTTCAGTATTTTGTTGAGTCTCTGAGGTAACATTAAAGATCCAATTCATAGCCCAGAGTAATATTTCTCAAAGAAATATCAAACCAATTTTCTGCCCTCCCCCCCCACTTCCAATATTCTCATCACGTGTAGTTGCTGTGGGGCCCCTAAACTGATGAACTGCCAGGTTCCCTCTGGAGCCCCATCTTCTCAGTTTTCTGTTTCTTTATTCCTCGTTAGGTGGGCTCAACTCTCCTTGATGGATCTAAAAGACGAGGTCAAGGCAGCCGCCACAACTGTGTGTTCACGGACAGCAAGGATGATGTGGCACAGAGGCTGCCGGGTCAGGAGAAAGCGCTCCTGCCGCAGGGTTCCCCCCTGGGTAGGACGCGCGGAAGTATCTGACTAAAACAGAGGACGCAGTGAGGATTCGTGGGCATCTGCTTTACTGAAAGTGACTCCAACCCTGTAAAATAGGCTTATAAACCTAAGAGTTGCTTAAGGTTGTAGAAATACTACACCCCCTATTATTTGTAACCCAAGTCTACCCCTTACAATCTACGTTTTCAGCACCTCCCACACCCCTCCTCAGACACTCCACAGGGTGGAGCTAGGCAGCCGGTGAGCGTCCCCACCTTGGTGACTTCATTGCACGGAACGTACTTCTGCCGTGTAAAATGTGCACCTATGTTTTCCCTCCAAACTTTCAGGAAAAAAATCTTTCATTTTAATTCAATTTTAATTTATTTAGATACTTGTTTTTTGCATTAAAAGGAATTTTAGCATTTATTTTTGAACATATTATGGTACAGGAAATTTTATGAAACAAATAATTACAAAACACAAGAACACATCCAGGCATTTCCAGTACTACCCATGTATAATGTGCCTCCTTATTCTTCCCTCAAAAATCTGAGCAAAAAAGTATGCATTACACATGGCAAAGTACGGTGGCTTTTCTCATCGAATTACTATTACCATGAGGAGAGCTCATAATTGAGGCACCAGAGGGCAGAGCAATGACATCAGAGCGGAGCCCTCTAGAGCAACTGCAACTCTTCCGGCTGCAGGAATGGAAACCCTTTCTCCCTATTCTGGTTGTTTCTCCAAAAGCCTCCCCTCATGTCATGTCTTTAACACATTCTATTTCTCCTAACTACACTTAGTACATATTCCTCTTCCAACAAAACAGATTTCCTTTCCGATAATTAGGGATGATTTTCAAGTTATGAGAGTATTTTCTTACTTTCTATTTCTTGAATACAGCATCTCCCCCACTGCAGAGAATTCTTTTTAAGAAGTTCTAACGGGCTCTGGTACCTGTGTGTGCAGTGAGCTTCAGATGGGTTTTTGGCGATGACAGAGGATTCCTTACTTCCTCATGTCCCTCCCTGTTACTGAGTTGGCATCCTGACATTATTGATTCAACACTTAATTCCCTTTCTCTTCGGTCGTAAATCTTAGTATTACTGCCTGCTCCACATCCTCCCCAGCACTGCCCACATTTCTATTACAGCTATTTTAGTGGGTGTGAAGTTGTTCATTTTTCCCATAAATTACCTTGAGTTGAGAGAATTCTCTTCAATTTCTAGTTTCCTGAATTTTCTTATCATGAAAGGCTGGATTTTGTCAAATGCTTTTTCTGTACATAGATGGTTGTTTTACCCGCTTTGTTCTACTAACGGGGTTCCACTGGCTTTCTTATGGTGAACCACCCTTGCGCTCCTGGGAGACACCTTGGTCATGGTGTACAATCCTTTAACATGCAGGGGTTCTGTTGAAAGTTTTTGCACTTATATTTATGAGGAATATTGATCTATAGTTTTCTGGTGGTGTCTTTGGCTTTAGTATCAGGACAATACTGGCTTCACCAAAGAGAGTGGTTAATGTTCCCTCCATTTCCTCTGTTTTCAGAGTTTATAAGGAATTAGTGCTATTTCATGGTTAAATGTTTCATACGGTTCAAACAAACCCTGTCAAGCCATCTGGGCCAGGGATTTCTTTGTAGGAAGATTTAAAATTACTAATTCAATTTCTTTGTTGTAATCTCTTCAGACTTTTAATTTCTTCCTGGGTCAGTTTTGGTCATTTGCGTGGTCCTGTTCATCCGTGTTCTCCAATCTGTTGGCATGAAGTTGTTGCTAGCAGTACCTTGTAATTCTTTTGATTTCTGAAGAGCTGTTTGTTTCCTTTCATTGCTGATTTTGATAATTTGTGTCTCTCCTTTTTTCTTGGTTTGGTTAGTCCAAGTTTGTTGATTTTGTTTATCTTCCCAAAGATCCCACTTTTGGTTTGCTTTTCCCTACTACTTTTCTGATTTCTGTTTCACCGATTTCATTATTACCTCTGATTTCCTTCCTTCTGCTTGCTTTGGATTTATTTTGCCCTGATTTTTCAAACTTATTAAGGTGGAAGCTTAGGTAATTGATTTGAGATCTTTCTCATGCTCGCCCTGCACATTTTGACTGTCCTAAATTGTTCATTAGGTAAGAATTTTACAAACATTACTTTTATTAGCGGTAGTGGTGGAGCTGGGAGTACTGTACCCTCTCCAAGCTGCAGGGTGAGAACCACCGATAGTGTGGGGGGACTGTGACTCTCCAAGACCAGGCTCTTGCTGCCGGCACGTGTCGGCCCTCACACCTCCCTGTGCTTGTGGGCTGGTGTGGTGATCCGGTCCACACTGATGGCCTTATGGAATGGATCAATGAGGTTAACCCCAAAGAATTTGTATGTGGAACTGTCACCAACCCAGTAAGAATTCAGGACTCTCAGAACCGCACAGTCACGTCCAGCTCGCCCTTTGGAAACAGACTGAAGGCTTCGAGCAAACGTTCGCTGGCTAACACCACGACGGACAGGCTTGCTGTAGGTTGCACTCTTAGAAACTGGGCCTTTGTGGCCACCATGGTGCACATGAATCTGATATACGGGTATGGTATGACCTTGCCTGACCCTGTATCACAGTCTGCTGTACTTTATTGGGCCAGGTGGGTTGGGGGACCCTGTGGAACACAGGGAGCAGGCGGTAGTGCCCACAGCACACCCTGAGAAGGAAGCACACTGCATCTGGCTGCTCTGTCTTCCACAGATCCTGGATGCACCTCTAAGCGCCCGTCTTGGCTTACCTGATGGTGTCTGCCAGATGGAAAAGAAGAGACTTTCCCCCACAATCCTTTTTGGGCTCTTCCTCTTCTTTTCAAATGCATGCATTTAAAGCCATCAATTTACCTTGGAGCGCTTTCAGCTGCATCACACAAACTCTGATGTTTTTATTTTCACTCCAAAATATTTTTTAACTTTCCTTAGGATATCTTTTGACGTATGGGTTACCTAATTAGAAATGTGTTGCTCAATTTCCAAATATTTAGATTCCCCAAATGTCCTTTGGTTGTTGATTCTAATTTAATTTTGTTGCGGTCAGAAATACCATTTCAATTCTTTCAAATAATTGGTATTAAGACTTGCCTTACAACCTAGCACATGGTGCATACTGGGGAATCTACCACGTGCCTCTGAAAAGGGTATTTTGTTGGGTGCAATGTCCTGCACACTGTAATAATAAAGACCTGGAGTCGTCCCCTACGAAGCCTGTGACTTCACACAGGAAACCACATAGCAAGTGACAGTCACATGCACATACTGTAGAAGTACTCACCAAAGTATAGATAGGAGGTGCAGAAAAGAAGAGCAAGTTCCCCAAAGACCCAACATCTGAATTTCAGAAAGAGGAATATCAAGGGAGAAGCTATAAAATGAACTTGGAACTATTAAGAAAAAAGTACTGTCATTTTAAAAAAAAGATTGCAATTTTAAAGCTGACTGGCCAGGATTAGCCAGCCTCCCATTCTGGTTGGTTTGGAAAAGACAATTCATCACTGAACTATGAATTTTTAAAAATCACGATTACAGAAAATATTTATAACCCTGTCATGATTAACTACTCACTGTTTGGTGTAATGACAATACCTGAATCTAATTGGTAGACAACTGTGCCTTTTTCCTCTCCTACAATTTCTGGCACCTTTTCGTTTCCTGTAGGTTGATAAAAATATTCTGGTTGAGGTGGAACTCTCTCTGAAAGAAGACATTTAAAAAATGCAAAATAAGAAAAGATATAAAAATTTAGCAGAACCTAAATCTCTAGGGTGTTTATAAGTTGTCTTGCTTCTTTCCACAAGACTATGAGAAGACTTTCACTAAAAAACATATGCTATAAACAGAAGATTTAAAAGTAAGCCGGAAAGGTCAACATAGTTGCCGTAATAACTCTTCAAAATTTGGTCCCAAGCTTCCTTTTACAATCAGGAAAATATGATCAACTACATACATTTTATTACCATATAGGAACAAGTGTATCAGTTGTTTCAGAGAAAACAAGGCTTTTTCATTGACGCTCAATTCTAAGAGATTTCTTGCATGCAACTTGGGCAAATTTTCAATATCATTTTAAGTATAGAAGCCATTGATGAAAGCCTGTATTTCACTTCATCTCTCATCTTTCCTGCTTGATGCTCCACGGCTGCCCAAACTTGACACACTCTTTCCCCATTTCCTCTAACTGCAGTATTTTTCCTTGACTCAATTGGATCAGGTCTAGCTGTTCCTTCGGACCTCCCTGGAAGATCGGAAACCCGCACCGATCTTCCAGGCTGGGGTTAAGCGTTCGCAAAGGCACCAAGCTCTATGCAATTGCCTGGCTGAATCTTTTAACCGCCCCCACCAGTGTGAGAGCTCCGGGTGTCTCCGCCTTGTTCATGAGTGTGTCTCTAACACTAAGCACTGTACTTAGCATATGGTAGATGCTTGATTAATATTTACTGAATGCATATTATATGACGGAAGTGAGAAAATAAGAAACATCCAGCTGTTTACTCAGCAGTCTAAAGCAGAGACATGATGTTTGCTAGACAGAAGTGTCCTGGCAATCAGAAAGTCCCCACTTTTCAATGTAATGCACTTCTGAAAATGCTTCATCAATGGAGTGCTGAAGCGTTCAGCATGGATTATATTTGTACCAATAGCTCAAAGATATGACCAGTAATGTCATAAAAACATGCCTCCACCACTCCCATTAAAAATTCCAATGAAACAAAAATATAATGAAAAAACAAAACAAAACAGTAAACGATGCTCTGGCATGTAGGGTGTGCATCAACTATACCGAAGCTGGTAAAGAATGCAACTTTCATGAAACTCAGCCACGCATGTTAATCCTGAGATGGGAACAATCCAGAAAACGGATTTAAGTATGAATATATTTTGGTCTCTCGCAAGGTATCCTCCCATTCCAGTAAACTCAGAAACATTCCGGTTTACAGACTGGTGTAAGTTTTCGCTTTGGCGAGTGTGTACCAGGTGCCCAGAGTGTAATCATTTCAGGGTGAGAGGACAGATGTTGAACCGGTCCTGCCCGCACTTCAGGACCCAGGACTTAAAACGGTGAGGTCTCTGAATCAAGTCTGTCGGCACGGCCAGACCATGACATGGAAGCCACATTACCAATGTGATGGATGTTCTCCTTGATGACCTCACACTCTACGGGCCATCTGGGGGCCTGCATTGGCTCGCTGCCGGAGAAAAAGGCAAAGAGATCTCGGGGCTCTCGAAGACGAAGACGCGGGTTTGCTTCACCAAACTCCTCGTGAAGCAGCTGTCTCCTCTTCAAAAGCGGTGAACTCAGCACAAAAGAATCTGCCAAAGGACAAGGGGATGAGTGAGCAGGTTCCTCTTCCTCCTGGGAACTTCACTACTCAACTGTACCAACTAAACAACTGGACGCACTGTATCAAAATAGGGGCACAGATGTGCAATCTTATCACATATTTCTCCTTCAAGGAGACGTATTAGGGATGACAGCACTGAAATGATAAAAATCAAACTAAAATTCTGCACAGTCTATTAAATATTTCAGAGTAAGTTAGAAGAAACTTTTTAGTTTCTTCTAAAAAATCAGAGCTAATGAGCCTAAGACATTTTAACAGTGGGTTGCAAATGAGTAAAAAGTTACTTAAGGCGTCTTATTACTTTTGTTTAGAATGAGGCAAGAGAGAGATCTTTCATTTCACCCGTTAGCATTTTAGGATAGCATTTTAGGAAAGTGTACGTAAAACTTCATTTAAAACCACTTGCAAATTAAGTTTCTACTTCATAATGTAACTGTTCAAAGGACAGAGAGACTTCTACACAGAGAATGATAAAGGAGTGGGAAATTATTGTGCACGGTCAGGAGGGACAGGAAAAGAGCTCTTGGGAAACAGAGAATGAGGAAAAAGGGAGGAAAAGAAAGACTTTCAGGGAGAAAGAGAAAGAAAGGAAATGAGAGGAAGCAGGAACAGAAAGAAACTGGCAGGGGAAGGAAAGGCAGCTGCCAGCGCCGGTGGGGAGAGCAGCTCGGGGAGCCCTGTTCCCGCCAAGGAGTCTGAGTTGTGCGGTTGGAGGGGCATGAAGTACCTCTGCTCACAGCTTCTGTCTGTCTGTGCACAGCTGAGGAAGAGAGACGGGGAGGCCCTAGGAAGAGGAAAGAGAAGGCAGCCTTGTCTGTCTCGGAGATCTTTGTCTTCTCTCTGCCCTCTTTCCCCTGCCCCTTTCCATTCCCCACACCCACTTCGGCACCCAGTATTTCTACCTCTAAATCTTCTCCCTAGTGTTTAATTGGGGGTGGGGGGGAGGAACAATAAACATTTCAAAATATGGTAAAGCCTGGCTGGTGTGGTTCCGTGGACTGAGCGCCGGCCTATGAACCAAAGAGTCAGCAGTTTGATTCCCAGTCCCCAGGGTCCCCAGGAAGAGCACATGAGAGGCAACCACGCACTGATGATTCTCTCCCCCGCTTTCTCCCTCCCTTTCCCTCTCTCTAAAAAAATAAATAAATACAGTCTTAAAAAAAAAAGAAAGAAAAATATAGACACATGAAGATTTTTTTTTTCCAAAAAAGAATAACAGCAGTGCCTATATTGGGGGTTGCTGAGTAAGGAGGGATTTTAGTTTTCCTTTTGTGCTTATTTCTACCATTTAAATGTAAGTTTCCTTTTTACCTTTGTACTCTTTTGGTTAAAAAAAAAAGATGATAAATGCTTTGCCATAAAGAAAAGAAAGAAAAAATCTTCCTCGCTCCAACGATCAAAGCAGGGGAAAAGGGTGTCGGGCCATCCAGTCCACTCCGAACTGAAACCCACTGTCCTGTTACTTCTACCAGTTGATTTTGGCACTTTGTCTTTTTGCCCAAATCTCATATTTAAAAAATGGTACCTTGATATTTTGGTTTGTATCTTTAATTAGAAGTAAAATTGAGCATCTTTTCATAAAGCTTATGACCATCTGTGTTCGTTTTTCTAGAAACTATGTGCCCAGTTTTCTATTTGGTCATCTTTTATATATTGATTTATAATAGCTGTTTTGTTAAAAGAAAATCCAGACTTCCAGCCAAGATGGAGGTATATGTAGATACACTGTGCCTCCTCCCACAACCAAAAGAAGGACAACAAATTTAAAAACAAAAAAGCACCAGAACTGACAAAAAAATCAAACTGTATGAAAGTTCAACAACCATGGAGTTAAAGAAGACACCTTCATCCAGACCAGTAGGAGGGATGGAGTCAGGCAGCTGAGGTAGAAAAGATGTGGGCAAGGCAGTGGCTGGCGGACCCTGCGAGGTGGCGGATTGTGGAGCAGAAGGTCCCACATTCATGTGCAGATAAACCAGAAGGAATAACTGGGGTGCAAGACAGACCACACAACCCAGAGTTCCAGTGCAGGGACATAAAGTCTCAAACCCCTGTTCGAAAACACCTGTGGGGGTTGAGGTGGCAGCGGGAGAAACCCCCAGCCTCACAGGAGAGTTCTTGGAGGGACCACGGGGTCCTAGAATGTACACAAACCCACCCACCTGGGGAATCAGCACCACAAGAGCCCAATTTGCTTGTGGGAAGCAGGGGAAGTAACTGAAAGCCGGCAGAGAGCAGAGCAAGAGACATTGTTTCCTCTTGGACTCCTCCCCACATGTAGCATCACTACCCAGCGACCTGAGTTGCCCTGCCCTAGTGAACACCTAAGGCTCTGCCTCTTACTAAATAACAGGTATGCCGAGACAAGAAAAAAATGGTCCAAATGAAAGAACAGATCAAAGCTCCAGAAAAAATACAACTAAGTAATAAAGAGATAGCCAACTTATCAGATGCACAGTTCAAAACACTAGTAATCAGGATCCTCACAGAATTGGTTGAATTTGGTTGCAAATTAAAGGAAAAAAATGAAGGCTAGGCTAAGTGAAATAAAGGAAAACTTACAGGGAACCAACAGTGATGGGAAGAAAACCAGGTCTCAAATCAATGGAGTGGGCCAGAAGAAAGAAAGAAACATTCAACCAGAACAGAATGAAGAAATAAGAATTCAAAAAAATGAAGAGTCTTAGGAACTTCCAGGACACCTTTAAACATTCCAACATCCGAATTATAGGGGTGGCAGAAGGAAAAGAGGAAGAGCAACAAATTGGAAACTTATCTGAACAAACAATGAAGAAGAACTCCCTCAAGTTCTGGCAAAGGAAATAGACTTCTGGGAAGTCCAGGAAGCTCAGAAAGTCCCAAAGAAGTTGGACCCAAGAAGGAACACACCAAGGCACATCATAATTACATTAGCCAAGAGTAAAGATAAGAAGAGAATCTTAAAAGCAGCAAGAGAAAAGGAGACCATTACCTACAAAGGAGTTCCCATCAGACTGTCAGCTGATTTCTCAAAAGAGACCTTACAGACAAGAAGGGGCTGGAAAGAAGTATTCCAGGTCATGAAATCCAAAGACCTACATCCAAGATTGCTCTATCCAGCGAAGCTTTCATTTAGAATGGAAGTGCAGATAAAGTGTTTCCCAGATAAGGTCAAGTTAAAGGAGTTCATCATCACCAAGCCCTTATTATATGAAATGTTAAAGGGATTTATCTAGGAAAAAGAAGATCCAAAATATGAACAGTAAAATGACAACAAACTCACAGTTATTAAAAACCAAACCTAAAACAAAAACCAAAACAAACTAAGCAAATGACTAACACAGGAACAGAATCACGGACATGGAGATCACATGGAGGGTTATCAGTGGGGCAGAGTGGGAAAAGGTACAGAGGATTAGTAGGATAAATAGGTAGAAAGAATAGACAGGGGGATGTTAAGAATAGTATAAGAAATGTAGAATCCAAAGAACTTATATGTATGACCCATGGACACAAACCAAAGGGGGGGAATGCAGGTGGGAGGTGGTGTGGAGGGGAATAAAGGGGGGGAAATGGGGCAACTGTTGTATCATAACCAATAACATATATTAAGAAAAATTAACCCTTTGATGTGTTTGTCACAAATATATATTTTTTCATTTTCTGATTTTCCTTTATGGATGGTACTTCTTTCAATACGGAAGTCTAACTTTTTGTAAAAATTATCGATGTTTTAGTTTATGGCTTTGGGTCTCGTGTCATTCAAAAGTTTTAACTAGAAAAGGGATACAATCAGATTGGCAAATAAAACAAAGCACTGCTGTGTGGAAACTGCGTTGGAAAGGGGCAATGATGGAACAGGAGGAGCCAGGGGACCAGTTGTGAAGCTTTTCAATAGTGAGAAGTGATGGCAGCCTGGGCTGGGGACAGGGAGGATGTAGAGTAAAGAGCAGGGAATTGATGTTTGGGTGACTATGTATTGAGGGAGAGATTGCACTGAATTCCTGCCTTGGATTCTGGAATAAACCTGTGGAATACCTGTAGAAAATTATTTTTTGCTTAAGCTAGCTGGCAGTAGTCTCCACCACTCTTATGCAAAGAGCCTTAACAAATATATCCAACAAAACTGTGTGAAAAGTCAGTGTTTTAGTGCTGACCAGTGTGGCTCAGTTGGTTGGGTCCCTTCTGCAAAGCGAAAGGTCGCTGGTTCAATCCCTGGTCAGAGCACATGCCTGTGTTGCTCTCACAAAGGTGTTTCTTTCCCTTCCCTTCTTTCTTTCTCTAAAAATAAATAAATAAAACCTTAAGAAGAAAAAGTCAATGTTTTACTCTTGAGCAAAGAGTCTTAACCAATTTGCCAACAATTGAGGATGACAACCTAGAATGTAGAGTATTTTAATTTAAACCTACTATCCAAAGTAGATCTACAGAAGACTTAAAAAAAAAAAAAAGAATCCTCACCTGAGGACATTTCTTCACTGCTTTTAGAAAGAGATGAAGGGAGAGAAAGAAAAAGGGGGTGGGGGAGAGAGAGAGAGAGAGAGAAACATCCATGGGAGAGATACGCGCATCGACTGACTGCCTCCTGTACACTCCCAGACTGGGGACTGAACCTAGGTACGAGCTTTGACTGGGAATCAAAACTGCAACTTTTTGGTTACAGGATGATGCTCCAATCAACTGAGCCTCACTAGCCAGGGCTAGGGAGAACATTTCTGAGTGATGTCAGAACAGTGGCCAAGGTGCTTCTCTGGCTTCTCCTACACTGGGCATGTTCTCCTGAATACCCAGAGCAGTTGCTCAGGGCAGTGAGGGTTCGGGGCCCCTGCACACTGATTATTACTCACACAGAAGGTTCTCCTTGTGCAGGAGGTCTGGTATCAAGTCATCTCTTTCCCTAAAGGAGCCACCCAAGATGAATCGAATTGGGGACTATTCTTCCAAACACACTGGTGGGGCAGAGTTTGGTAAACTCTCTTTCTGAACTAAGAAAAGAGTTTAATTAAAGGTGCTGGAAGACCGGTTCGCCACCTCCAACACCAAGGTCCGTGTCAAAACCACCACTACCAAACCCTATGGCCACAGGCCTTTACAATGAATACACCTCATTTCCCAAAGAGCTTCCACGTCCCAATTTGCCAGAGTTAAACATCATTTCCCCCATTTCACAGTAAGGAGAAGACTTGAGAAGCAGCATGGAGAGTGGGAAAAATAAAGGGCTTGGGAGGCAGAGAGACCTGGTAGCTCTAAGAGTGGCCGAGAGCTGCCACTGAGTGCAGGCTGGTACTCAGAGTGGGAGCGGAGCCCTGGTGCCAGACCTGTTTTGCCCCGAGGGCTCTGCTGAATCTGGCAAACTGGCTGTGCGGTTTTCAACAAATCGGTAATCAGTTAAAAAAGAACGTTTAACAAGGTTGAAAGCAATAAAGTCAATATGAAACCTTTGTTTCTAAATAACAGGAATAAAGTTAGAAAATCAGAATGAAAGATAATTTACAATTATCTTTAAAGATAATTTTATGAAAAAAGTTACAAAACTTTATTGGGAGAGATTAAGGAAGACCTAAGTAAATGGGGAATTAGACTACATTTATAGATTGGAGAACCCAGTATCAGGAAATTCTCAGTTCTTGTGAAATTAGAGTCTATAGATTCAGTGCAATCCCAACATTTTTAAAAACAATTATTTATTTATTTATCTTTTTTAGAGGGTAAGGGAAGGAGAGGAGAGAAATACCAGTGTATGGTTGCCTCTCATGACTCCCCTGCTGGGAACGGGCCTGCAACCCAGGCATGTGCCCTGACTGGGAATCGAACCATGATCGTGTGGTTCGCAGGCCCATGCTCAATCCACTGAGCTACACCAGCCAGGCCAACATTTAAAAGAAAATATCATAAGCCAATTCTAAAGTTATATATAAAAAGGCAAGAATAACCAAGACACTTTTTAAGAACAATCTGGAAGATGTGCCTTTCCAGATATTAAGACTGTATTAACAAAAGTTAGTAATAATGTCTCATGCCACAATCCAGCACATTGAAGTTTTAAGGCCAAAAAAAAAAAAAAAGACTTTCAACGTCACATAGTATAATTAACCAAGGGTATTAGTGCAAGGGAAGACAGACAGACAATGGGGAAAGGAAGCACTTTTCACTAATGGTGTTGGAAAAATTCGTCATTAGTTGACCCAAGCATAACTCTCTCAGTTAATGAAACATTTTACTTTATGAACCCAGGAACGGTGATGCTAGACAGGAACAAGATACTGAAGCAGGATGGTAAGAATCCAGGAAATTTCCTGGGCTAGCAGAATAGGAAAACTGAGACCAGATAATTAAACAAGGCCAAACAATTTGAACAACTTCCAGCCAGATAGTGAATCACGAGACCCTGGTTAGGTGTCCCCTAACCAGGGACACCTGAGAGCAAATGGTTTCACTGCTCCTCACTAACCGAGAATAAATACATAGCTTACGTCACCCTGGTCAGGGAGTTAGGGGACAGGGACCCGATTAATGCCATTTATGCCAGGTAAACACAACAAAAAATGAAGTTGGGTCTGACAGGCCCAAGATAAAGCAGTAAAGCAGATCAACGAGTAATCCCAGACTCCCCTGTACACTCATTTTGATGCATCAGCATATGAAAAACACATCTGGAGAGCAAATGAATATCCTGCTGAAACCCTCCCCTAAGATTCTCCTTGCAACCCCCAAGAAAGAAAAAAACCCTTAGGACAAAGACCCAGTACAGGTCGCTCTAGAGCAGGGCCACACTCCTCCAATATGAACTTTTTCCTATCTCCTAAACTCTGGGGGTCCCCAACAGACTTGCAACCAGGGGTGCACTGGGCACCAGCAGCTCGTTCCAGGCTAACCCCCTGATCCTGTCTCCAAGGCCCCTTGGATCTTACCTGTTGCTTCTTCTACCCTAAGCCCTTCCTTTGTTTCACTGTCCCAGCTTTTAATAAACGTACTCTCAAATTCACCTGGACTCTTGTGGTGAACTGTCCTGCATGAAGTCAAGAACCCACACACTACTGGCTCTGGGCCCGGTCCCCATCCGGTAAAATATTACCTTTATAGTAGCCATAGTACTGGAGGTGGCGGTACATAAAGTCTTCATAAGGATCAGGATGAGTCTGTGAAAGGAAAGGCCATTTAAATCAGGAAAGTCCTTTCGAATAATACTGAACTCTTAACAAGTACACAAGCATTGTTGCAGAGGACAGTATGCCTGAGGACTTCCGTCAACAAGCCTTCTGAAAGACATTCACACAAATCACTGTCCCGGGGGTGAAGATCTCCAGCTCGGAAAAAGGTCCACCTTCCAATTGTACTGGGTTTCCGTGGAGTTCCTGGAGAGGGGCTTGTACCCACCTCCTGCTTTAGGTCTGTTTCCAGCGCTGGGAACATGTTACTGCTGTATGGCACACCGAAGATCAGTCACCTAGGCATCCAGTCACAGCCACTGCCCGAGTTCCAAAAGGGCAGCTGATTGCACAGAAGATGAACAACAGGACAACTGAAAAGTTTGCCCATATTCACCACTTTGCTCCCACCCTTTGCTCCCGCAGCTCCCATGAGATTTTAGGACGCCCTGCCTCATAGCTCCCTTTTCTCTGCCGACTCAGCCTCTGTTCAGACAGAGCCCCCACCGGTGGTTCCCTCTGCGGCACGGAGGCGCACCTGAGGAATTAGGGAGGGCGACCGTTGTTCCAGCCTTTTCCTCCCGAGGCACCCGTCGTTTACAGGCTGCAGGCTTCCTTCTCCCTGAGCAGGATGCCCGCCACCAGGAGCCGCAAGTGGAAAAAAAACGAGAACAGGCGGATACGGTGAGTTTGTTTGCGGTAGATAGAAAAGAAAGGTCAGAGGCTCGGAGAGTGGGCTCTGAAAATTAGGTACAGGGGTTCAGGGCTTCCTGGTCCGCGGGAAGGTGGTGAAGGGAAGTTACTCGCAGGGTGAGCGGGGCTGATGGACTTCTTAAAAGCGCAGAGGGAAGGTAGCCGCTGCCGCGCTCCCAGGCGCAGGGGCAGGGCCCCTTAGGCAGCAGGAACGCCTGAGCGAGGCCGGAGGCTGAGGCACAGCAGGTAGAGACCTCCTGTGCACCGGTCGGACCCGAGAAGCAAGCTCACCCTCCGCCTGCTGCTGGGGCCCGCGTAACCTAGCAACCGCGAAGCGGAAGCGGGAGGGTGGGCAGCTGGGCGCTTCCGGGGATGGAGGCCACGCCTAATAAGGAAAGGTTGCTGTTTTTTAAAAATTGTTTAGAGGGGAGTGAGACTTCAGGTGTGAAAGAAAACACAGATCAGCTATCTCTCGCACGCCCCCTACGTGGACCTGGCCCGCAACCCAGGTCTAAGCGCCAGCCAACCAACCGGGAATAGGCCGGCGACCCTCCGGATCGCAGGACGGTGCTCGTTCACCGAGCCACAGGCCAGGATTGGCAAGATCGCGGTTTCAAAGTCCTTTTCGTACACGACTGCAGCACTTCAGGGTTGTCGGTCACAACGGGCCAAGGAATACTGAGCCTGTAGTCCTCAACACACCCCAAACTCATTTGCTGTCCCTCGGCCTCAGCTAACAAGCGTTGTCAAAAGGGTGCCACTCTCACATTAATGTTCCTCTCCTCGTCCCCCTCCCATCTGAAAAGCAACGAAAAATGTCCTCTGGTGAAGATTAAAAAAATAAATAAAGATCGACTTAAAAATAAGGCTTGGTTACATAATTACGGAGTTAAATTTACAAGAGCAAAAGGATAGACCATCGAAAGTATTAAAAAAAGAGGCTTTATTAGAGCATATATACAAATTTACAAGGTCAGAAACTGGATAAATACAAACAGCTTTAAAACACAATTTGACTTTTCTTCAGTTTAAAGTGACTTTTACCTGATTGTGGTACAATAGAAAATACAAAACAGTAAACTGCTTTTTAAATACTGGAATTTTATGGAAAATAGTTCACACATAGAAGGGAGGTGATTTTGGAATATGGTAAGACAATGGAGACATCAACATAGTGGCTCTGGCTACACCAACGGACAGATATAAGGGAGGATCCTCAAAGTCAAAGACAAGGACACATGCTGCTGCTGGTACTGAAATGGAAGTATTTCACCTTGTGCATGAAATGACAGCCTCCGATTCCAGAATGTGCGAGATTTAACAGTTTTAGAGCGTGGCCACCTGCCAGCACAAGGCAAACAGCAGCCTGACCAACTCTGCACTTCAGGGGGAGCCAAGCAGAAGCGTTCAGGGAGACTGACACCCCAGGGAAGCGAGGCAGAGGCCAGAGCTGCCTCCTAATTGCACTTGTTCTGGAGCGGGTGGGAGCGCTCCACACTGGGGTGCCTCATGGGCCTCCATCAGGAAGGGAAACTGCTCACTTTCTGTCAGGGTCCTCTACACAGGTGTCACCCTCATGAGCCACACGGTCCAGGCTGATGAGGTGACATACCTAGCATGCTGAGTTTGCCAGTGTAACAATAAAGGCAGCCAGACCCAAGTGTTCAGTCACCCCACCCTTCGGCAAAGGAGAAAAAACTGCATCTCACAAATGTGAAACTCTACGGGTATGTCCTTGCCCAGAAAATTCATATGCTCCCCCCATAGCATTTACTTTATTGACAACAGTAAAACAGGTTAAGACTTTGAACACACACACAATAAGAATCGAAAACAAAACAACAAAAACTATGTGTTTGGAGTCATTTTCCTTCGCTTCAGTCTTGCTCGCCAATCCTCAGGAAGGGCTTCAAAATTAGCATTTCTTTCTGCCATGCCACTGTGAAAACAACATATAGATTACTTCACCAGGAAAAAAAAAAAAGAATAAAACCATTCATTTCCTACTAAAAATATCTAACCGAAACATGTGAAAGTTTCAAGATGTGAAAATGCTTCAAGCTTCTCAGCTAAGTACCAGAAAATTCTTTTATCAAGTTTTTTTCATGGGTCAATGAAAGACATACACATACTTTATATAGCTTTATGTGTATGTTAGTGCATATATTTATCTTCAGCAACCACTAAAGGCACATTAAAGGAATAAAACACATTCTTATCAAAGTTTTTAGTGGCCTCTGGAGTTATGCTTCTTTAAAGATATATTTAACCTTCAATAGACCATCAGGAACCTTTGGACCTAATGTTTTTGAGATTCTCTTTTGACCAGTTCTATTCATAAAGATTGGTATCTCAAGGCTTATTCAGTCATTTAAAAAAACAGATTAGCCCTGGCTGGTGTGGCTCCGGGGAATGAGCGCCAGCCTGTGAACCAAAGGGTTGCCAGTTTGATTCCCAGTCAGGGCACATGCCTGGGTTGTGGGCCAGGTCCCCAGTAGGGGGCATGTGAGAGGGAACCACACATTTGTTTCTCTTCCTCTCTCCTTCCCTTCCGCCCTCTAAAAACAAAAAACATTAAAGCTCTCAGATTCTATCTTGCAATTATTAGAATGGGTGTAGTAGATTCTTTTCAAAATCTAAAATACTCTAAGATAAATTACAGGATTGTTGGCATCTCCCTCCATCATTTTGCTATTTCATCATTGTAGGAATTAATCATTACTGAATTCCCAGCAATACTAAAAATAAAAAAAAAGACTAAAACAATAAAAAACAAACCAACCCCTGATAATAATGCAATCACCTATAAGGATAAAGCAAAAATGAAATAAATTGTCACTAATACCATCCCTCAGTTTTCTAATTATATTGCCCAAAATAGCGTATCAAGTCTGGAGAAGACATCTGCACAGTTTTTTTTTTCTTTTACAAATACAAAACAAAGTGGCACAGAGTGGCACTGTAGATTCTAATTATGATAAAACTGACTACATAGTAAAATCTCAGATTATATGTTAAGACCATATTCTTCTTAAAAAAAATATTTTACTTACTTATTTTTAGAACGAGGGGAAGAGAGGGAGAAACAGAGGTAGAGAAACCTCAGTGTGTGGTTGCCTCTCACGCGCCCCCTACTAGGCACCTGGCCCACACCCAGGCACGTGCCCTGACTGGGAACTGAGTAAGTGACACTGACTTGCTGGATGGCACTCAATCCATGGAGCCACACTAGCCAGGCATATTCTCTGTCTTTTAAAAAAGATTTTATTTATTTATTTTTAGAGAGAGGAGAAGGGAGGGAGAGAGGGAGAGAAACATCAATGTGTGGTTGTCTCATGCACACCCTCAACAGGGGACCTGGCCTGAATCCCAGGCATTGTGTCCTGACTGGGAACTGAACTGGTGACCATTTGGTTTGCAGGCCTGTGCTCAATCCATTGAGCTATACCAGCTAGGGCGGGAAGACCATATTCTAAATAAATTTTCTCAAATTCAAGACTAGTAAGTAAACAGTATTTCCTAAGGACAAAAAGGAAATAAAATATTCTCATTCAAAAGGAACAATTTCATCACCCAGATTGTTGTAACAAGAACCTGGACTAGCTCATTTTCCTACGATGTGTGTGACAGCAATCTTTCTGGTTTTATGATGCTGCATGCTAAAATTTATTTGATAGGGTCCTGAAGTGGAAAAATGCTGAAAGAAGATAGGTAGTGACTGGAGAGAAATAGATATTTTAGAAACAAATAAATTCAATTGGTGTTTATGTGTCTGAAAATGAAAATATTTTGGATTCCGAAGCAAAGAATGGCTATCTTCTACCAAATGTTTTTGTAAGTACTGTTTATGGATACTGCTAGTTCAAAAACCAGAATAACAAACTAGACCCATCAGAGATGAATTTGAAATCTGGCATCACTATTTATGAGACAAATATGGTCCAGGTTATGCACAACAATTCAGCAACATTAGAAGAATGCTGCTCATTTCAATGTATACCTTGAAAACTAGGAAAATAAAAAAATAAAAATTTGAGCTAGCTACGTTTAAATTCTTCTTAAAATTTCTAATACATTGCTTTCACCCCTTCTCTTTATTTTTAACTTCTGTAAATTATATATAAAATTTTAGAAAAGTATATAAAAGGGTCTATTAGATTTAGAAGCAAATGGGGTTTGTTAGTTTCCCGGGTATCTTGAATGTTAAAACACAGCCCTTTGCATCAGATGAGCAACTGGTAGTTGCAGCTCTGACAATTCTGATTTCAAAAGAGGCTAAACCATAGTGTTTATGGATAAATATGTCTATGAATTCACCACAACCCACCCCCATCTGTGCTCTCTTTACCTGACCAGCTGCTGCTGTTTCCACTCTTCAATTCGCTTCTGTGCTGTTGATTCCCGGTCTTCCTCGCTGGAACTAGAGTTCTCCTCTTCATCTAACTCACGCTGGATACTCTGCCACTTCTTCACCAGAGATGGCATTTTGGTTTTACTCTTCTTTGCCTATAACAAAGGTTAAAGGTCAGATAGGAATGTAATGCATAAAATAAGAAAACAAGCCCTCCACATCATGTGACATCAGGATTTTTTCCTAGTGCTATAAAACAAGTAAACTAAAATCAAAAGAACAGAAACACAAAATAAATACCATTCTAAGTTCTTGACAAAAATTTCTACCAACTATAAACTGAATGTTTGGCTAAAAATTTTTAAAATGTAAACGTGGCTGAATTATCACATCAGGCCAGAAAATTTTTTTAGCTTCCTTGTTCTATGGAAGTCAGAACTGTTGCCCTTACCTCATATCTCCAGAGAATTATGGTGTTCCCCTCCACAAATTCTAAATAGATGCAGTGTTAACATCAAGTGAAAAATAGAGGTGACAAACAAATGACCAGCATTTCTGGGAAGAGCAACAAAGTCCATGGCAATTATTAAATATGAAAAAAGCAAGGAGATATATCAAAATATAAATAATGACATTTTAAAAAGTTTTATTTATTTTCAGAGAAAGGGAGGGAGGAAGGACAGAAACAGTGTGTGATTGTCTCTTGCACGCCCCTAACTGGGTACACCTGGCCTGACTGGGAGTGGAACTGGAAACCCTTTGGTTTGCAGGCTGGCACTCAATCCACTGAGCCACACCAGCCAGGGCAATTTTAAGAGGGTATTAATAAATTAACTTTTCTTCTTTTGGCTCGTACCTTTATTTTCTAAATTTCCTATAATAAACACATATTTTGTAATTAAAAAAATACTTGTGATATTTGCAAATGCAGAACTATGTATGTCCAACCTGGATTACTCCATCATGA